GTCTGGCGAGGACACCAAGCGAGTTCGGACCATCGAAAATTCGAGACTGCAGTCTGTCCTGAACGGAAGGCTCAAAAACTTGGCACGGTACGGCAAAGACGCCATGGCCACAATCTGCCGATTGACCGCGGCCTCGGACGTGATGCAGCACGTCAGGGAATATGCCGCGCTTCTCGAGAACTCAGTCTACGCCAAAGAGGTGATTGACGGCTACTCGAACGAGTCGGCTGCAGCGTACCAACTCTCGTCCTTTACGATCCTGCCGCCGTTCTACGTGGGGGAAGGCGACGTCAAGGTCGTGGACTCTTTAATGTGTCCGCCGCCAAACGACGAGCGCTGGGACGTGTCCGTCGTTGTCACCGACGATTCGGACATTCTCCTCGGGGTAGCTGCGGTCGTGGAAAAGATACCCTCGCGAGACGTCTACGTGTATTCGGCCCGCCAGTACAGCGAGAGTAAGAAGCGACAGGACGAACACAGGTTCGAGTTTGGCGGCGTGCAACACGCCGTGTCTCTGCTGGAAAGGTCTCTTCCCAGTCGTCAGGCGGGTTACTACCACATCAAGGACGATCTCTTTACTCGCGCTGTACGCGTCAGTAGTTCCGATCTTCACCCGCTGTCGTTTGTGGTGCCAATCTTGCTGTACGGCGGCTACGAGATGCTCCCGTTTATGATAAGCTCATCTAAAAAGGTGGACGGCAAGAAGGTGGACCTGTTTCGCGCAATGATGAACGCCGCAACGAAGGAGACTAGCTTCTTTGACATTTTACTGGCGGCGGTCGATGCCGCGGCACCTATGGAAGGGTCCACTACGCGGAGGCGAGCGGCCGCAATGTCCAAGGACTGGCCTAAGGCGAACGAGCGTCGGCAGAAAGTAGAGGAGATTGTCACGAAATACCTGAAGCTGCTTCAGTACACCACGCTCTACACCACGCAGCAGGACCGGCTAGCGTGGTACGTAAAGCCCGTAGAGTTTGTGTACGAAGACCGCGTGGTAGAGAGGGACGCGACAACAAACGCTTTCGTCACGCGACCGATCACGACCATGGGGCAGAACAAGGCGTGCCGCGTGAGTCTCGCCGACGTTGCGAGCGTCATAAGGGCCCTAAAGGCCAGCGACGCGTTGGAATCTGCGGTGGACATACGAGCTTACGTTATCGAATCTAGCGGCGAACACCTTGCGGTTTCCAGCGCCATCAAGGCGCTTTCGGCGCTCTACATGATGGGTGCTATGGAGTTTGATGACGACTACGACAATTGGTCGGACGTGGAAGCCCTTGCTGCCGTCTACAAGTGGTACGAGACCCGCTGTCTGTGTCCCTGCATCAAGACGATGGATCTACGACGCGTCTTCTGCATCTTTAGACAGAGCAGCGACTGGTCTCGCACGTTCACCACTAGCCTCATCAGACGGGCCTATAAGAAAAACAAGCGGCGACTGAGCAACCTCCGATTTCCTAGTTTCGACGCCATTTACAACGACATGTTGTGAATAAAAGAACGTTTGTTTGGACACACACACACACAGACGCACACACATAGAGACACAGATGTATAGCAGCGTGCAAGCTAGCGTAAGCGTTTATTTTAGGCAAAGCAGACAAACACAAGCGAAAGCGAGTCACTTCTTGTAATACGACACTTTGTAAATGCCATAGTCGTTGGTGGACGTAATGTTTGACTTTGTAACATCTTTTAATATCTGCAATTTCTGTATAGTGATGTAGTAGAAACAGTCGACGAGCCTCGAGACGACCAGATTGTGTAGACACATCCAATGCTTCTCGCAATAAAGGCGATCTGACACATACTGTCCGTCTTCCTTGGGTTTGATTTTGGCCACGAGCGCCGGTAGAGAGGTGGTCACCTCGTAGGTGCCGTGGTACGTGACTGGAATCACGTCGAAGAAGGATTCTTGTTCTTCCAGGGGATCGAAAGTGTAATCCAGTGGCAAAGTGGTCGTCTTGTCGTTTACATAGCTTTGCAGAACGTGGTGGAGAAAGGGTAGAATTGCATGCACGTTGTGATGCGCCGACGAGTGACGGACGTAGAGGTAGACGTAGTGCTTGGTGCATATCACGTCGTGCACCTTGAGATCGCGCAGCACGTTGATGAAGTTTATGCAGTCCACCACCACTCGGTTGGCGTCCTTGTCCCTGTATGAAAAGACGAGTAGATAGTGGTACGACGAGCTGTCTTTCTGACAACACTCTGCTCCCTCTACGACCGATGGGACGTTGTTTTGAATAAAGAAATTTGCGATAGCGATCCAGATTTTATAGGGTATCGATACCGAAAGGTCCAGTTCGCAATGGAGATAGTCTCGCAGGGTCCTCATTTTTTGTTGCGAAAAGATATCGACGAACGTGACCTGTTTCAACATTTTACTCCCTCGATCGTTCAAATCAGTCACCGAACCTTTTTGTTAATGTATATGGGGGCGTTGGCGGTTTTTTATTTCAAATGCATATGGGCACGTTGCTGTCGTCGTCCTTGCTGCGAGGCGTGGACGTGGATGGATTGGAGAGTAGCGGCGCCATCATCATGGAGACGTCTTCCATGGTTTTACGGAGCTTGTCTCGCATCGAGTTGGACAACAGGTCGTCGCTGTCGCATATCAGTCTGTTGAGAAACTTTGTTTCGACCGGAACGATGACTTCCACGTCGTCGGCCACGGACCTCCTACAACGGGCTAGGAAGAGGCGCAAGGCCGTCGCCGAAACAAACTGCCCCCTAAACAGGTTGTAGCAATTAGACACGGAGGCAAAAGCCTTGAGTAGTTCCTTCTCGAGAAATTTCTTGTTGATGACGCTAATCTCGGTCTCGTCCTCGATAAAGAGCTTGATGAACATGTTCAAAAAGTCGGCTAGTACGCGTTGGTCCACCTCGCACGTGGATATGGCCGCCATGGCGCACTTCGCTCCGTTGGCGTCGCGCGTAGTGTGCATGGCAGTAGACATGGACGTGCACCACGAGATGATGGACGACGACACGCTAGGCGAGATGTGGTGTTCCAGATAGTTGGGCGACTGGACCCAGAGTAGAAAGTCGTTAAAGAAGGGCGAGTCGTACAGGTAGGTGTTTTCGCCGCGGTAGCTCCTGCAGAAACGCGTGTGATAAAACAGGTTGGTGGCCATCCGAAATAGCGCCGTGTTTGAGTAGGTGGCAATTTCTTCCTGGCGCGGAGTGGGTATGCCCTTGGTCATCTTGAGGCACTGTAAGGTGGCCCCAAACATGTCCGAGTCCATCATCTCAAAGTTTAGGCACTGTAGAAACAGACCGAGGTTACGGGGCGAGACGCAACAGGCCTGGCTGTAAAATTTGTTGAGCTCCTGCGTGCCCTGGTCCGACTGTTTGTGCACTTCGACGAAGCGAGAGTCCACGCGCCCGTTGCTCATGCACTGTTCTATGATGGAGGCGATGTTAAGGACCGACACCTCGGTGGCCGGCGCCTTCTCCTTCTGCAGGGCTAGCACGTAGTGGTTGGTCCGCGGCACGGGGATCGTGTCGGAACTCTTCATGATGAGCTCGTTGTGGTCACGCAGCGTCGTAGAGATGGCCGGATCGATGATGTTGACGTCGTCCGTGACCCGCTCGGCCGGCATGACGGTCCGGAGCGTCATGTAGTCGGTGTCGCAGCGGTACACTCCGTTCTCGACGTTACTCGTGTACAACCTGTTGCTCTCTTCGACCAGGAGGTTGATGACGTCCTGTGGCTTGTTTTGCGAAAACTTTACGCGAATGGCCCCGACAATGTTTTCGTTGACGGTGTGTGGCTGCGTGATCCTGTGCACGAGGCTGAGACCGTTGGCCACGTCGAGCCAGTTGTGGCCCATGGCGCTCTCAAACTGAAAGATGGGGTTGCACTTTACGCGCACCGCCGCGTAGTTGCACAGGGATACTAGCATGACCGCCGTAATCTTGGCTGCCGTCCTTGCGCCCACCGCCATACCGCGAGTCGCCTCGCGCGCATGGGAAAAGATCTCTTCGATGTAGAGGAGTAGCAGGCGCAGAATGGCAGTAGCGTACGCGTCCACGTACGGCTTCAGATCCCTGATGACGCGCTGAGTGGTCGACGAGGAAGAGGTTTTCCTAAGTATGTTGAGACTGTTTCGTACGTATTCGATTCCCATTACGCAGTGAAATACTGTATTGTCATTCAGGAGCGTTTGGATGGCCATCTGATCCATGTCGACCGTCATCAGTATGTTACTACCGAGCTCGAAAACGCGAAAGAGCATATCTGCAACCGGTTCCACATCTCCGTTGGTCAGGAGCGTCGTGCGCGCCTTGGTAATGTGCTGCATGAGTTTCTTGGACGAGTAGCCGAGTAAGGTCGACGTGTCGTTCAGGAGCGTGGGCACGTATTTATCGCCATCTCTCCTGTAAGACACGTTTTGATTTCCCCGCTGCCGGAATACGGGTAATAAAATATCGGTGGCGTCTTCGTGATTCACCGAGTGTTGACATCGTCCCTTTTTCAACAGGTCTAAAAAATTTTCTGCGACAGACATTTTTATAATAAACAAAATTGCTACCGCCTATGGGAGGTCGACTCCGCTCCCAGTCGAGGTCAACCTAGATATGGAGAGAATATATATTGCGCACCGAGTAGAGGGCTCCTCTCATTATCGTCGCTATGGCGCACCTCGTTACGGATCCCATAAGCAAGGAAGTCGTGCGTCGCTTCAAGACGTTCGCCGAATGGCGACTTCGCACCAGAGCCACGCCTCGAGACTTTGCCTATGCCGGCCTAGAATATTGCGCTGACCGGAAACACATCTACTGTCGGCACTGCAAATTTCAAGTCGCCGAACAGGACTGGGAGACGCTCACGTTTCACCCGATGGACCTTCACCGCCGAATGCCGTGCAAGTTTCTCGAGCAGTACAGGGACCCGCGGCTGAACGTAGCAAAGGTCGTGTCCGTCTTGCCGAGCTACTCTCACCCGGTCTACAAGAGATACGTCGACGAGAAGATTCGAGCCAAGACCTTTCACGATGTTCGAGGCCCTGCGTTCGCCAAGGCCGGCTTTTTCTGCTCGCACGACGACGAGCAGGGCTACCTCTCCCGCGAACAGATAGTGACCCGCATAATCGTTTGTTTCTACTGCAGGGTGCAAGTATTTTCGATCCTCGACTGCGAAGAAGACGATCCGTGGCTGCTACACGCCCGCAGGTCCCCCAATTGCGTGTTTCTACGAGTGAACAAGACCTATTACTACGTGCACGATGCAGTCGAAAAGTTTTACAGGAGCGAGATGTACTGGGCGTCTCACTTTCCCGAGATCGACGATCTCGTCAAGGACCCAAAGTTCCGCAACAGGACTATGAGTACTCTGTACACGGCCAACCTGACGCATCCCTTGAACGTATCGGCGATGGTGAGTGCCATTCGGAGCAGCAAGGCGACTCCGTTGGGCAGTCACACTCTGTTTGAGCCAGTGAACGCCCTTCCTTCGTTCGATCACAAGGCTATCGGTAGGTGGGGTAACTTTGTGATAGATAGCGCGATCAGTGATACGCACTATTCCGCTATAAAGTCACGAGACGAATCAACTAAGAGGTGCATCGTATGCATGAAGGCTCCGGCTAACATTGCCTACTTGCCGTGCGGACACTGCGTGTCGTGTTTCGACTGCACCATATTATTCAAACATTGCAAGGCCTGTAGACTCAAAATCGACTTTATTTCTAGAGTCTACTTTGCTTAAGAACATGTCTTTCTACTGGAGACTGTTCGTTCGACCACGACCCGACTGTGGCCAAGGTGATGTCCGACTTTAAAACTTTTGCGACGTGGCCTTTGCGCAACAGTACCCCCCCACCCAAGGACTTTGCCATGGCAGGACTCGCCTACGATCCAGAGAAGCGGATTCTCAGCTGCTCGATGTGCCAGCAAAAGACTCAACTCTCTACTATCGTGGCCTCGGACGAAACACTTCCCCAAGGACTGCACGAATCCGACTGTGACGCACCGCTACGCACGCTGAGTCCAGACGTCTCGGCGGTGGTGACCGAACGAGCGCTTGCCTTTAGGCCCGAGTTTCAGACTTACACTGCGAGGTTCGCCTCCTTCGACGCTCGGCCGAAAGAAGAAGACGTCTTTGACGTGGATTACATGGCATCTGCGGGATTTTATTACCTGACCGATCGCACCGTGGAATGCTTTTGTTGCGGACTTCGGTTGCTTTCGTGGGAAGCCGACTACGACGACCCAGTCGAGGAACACGCCAAGTACAACCCTCGCTGCCCCCATCTTCGATTGTGCGCGAGCGTAACCTACATCAAGGAGGTGTCCGACGTGTATAGAAATAGCGATTTATTTTGGTTGCTAGAATATACCAAGGACATTGAGTTTGTCTCAAACAAATACAGCCTAGACTTTATAACAGCATTGGCCACTTCCAAGTTTGATCTTTCCTGTCCGAACAAGCTAAAGTCCTTTCTCGAAAACAGCGATTCTTTTTCGGCGCTGAGCGTAGGACGTCCGTATCCCACGCGCATCGACAAGACGAGCATCTCCATGAAGCGGTCCGATCCGTCCACGACGATTTGCGTCGTCTGCATGAACTGTCCGGTGTGTATAGTTACTTTGCCCTGTGCCCACGCCGCCTTATGTTTAAATTGTCTATTTCCAATGATTTACAATTCGAGAGAGCAATCTGTGTGTTGCCTTTGTAAATCTGCAGTGAGTGGAATGTATCGAATTCATTAAATAAACTATTTGTACTGGCACTAGTGTAGTGTGCATGCAAAAGAACGATTCGTGACTCAAAAATATAAGCACGCGAAATATTTATTTTCAAGCATAACTCAGTCGTCTTCTTCGCCCATTGAGTCTTCTCCTTCGTCGTAGTTGAAGGTGTTTAGGACGATCGGACCCAGCATTCTGTCGTCGTCCGATTCGAGATATTCGTCGGCGTCACTGTCGTAGTCGTCACTGTAGCCGTCGTCACCGTCACCGTCGTCACTGTCGAGGTCTTGGTACTCGATGTCACCCACAACACCGTCCACACCTTCGATAACGTCTAGGTCGGTTGGCGCAATGTTTCTTAGTGACGGAGACACTGTGCTAGAAATACACAAAGTGTATTCACCAAGGTAGACGTCCTTGTTGGGGACGTCTCTAGCGGTGAGTAGGATGGCCGTCAGTCTTCGATGCACGTTGAGAAATTGGTGAAGCGTTTCTCGGCGTATAAATCCGAGTCCGGTCATGCAGAGGCTCCGTATGCCAACGTCGATGATCCTCTTTTCTGCGAGATACATCAAGGCTTCGTCGTCTAGGTGATAGCACGATCCCATCTGCAAGTGAGTCAAATTAGGTAGACCGTCCGCTAAGCACTTTACAGAGTCGTTGGTCAAGCCGGGTGCGTGACGTAGGAGCAAAGTCTTGATGTTCGGGTAGAAACGAACCAAATCACTGACGTGGCGGTCTCGCAGCATTGGATAGTGCACCAACTTCAAGAATGTGATGTGCGTAGGAAAGCTTCTTAATATTGAAATTTCGGTATACGCACAGTGAATTTGCCCTTCCACGTTGTCCCAAGCGTAGCCCTCTTCTTCGTGGTATATACTAAGCACCACTGTTTTCCAATCCACCACGTTTGACACTCTGGACTGAGCGAACACTTGTACGCAGGTGTCGGCCAGTGGGAGAGATGGGGACCTGTCTAGTCGAGCCATTGTCGCTTTGGGTTATAGGGTAGTAGTCGTGTCGTGTCGTGACGTCGGGGGAGAGGGTAGGGTTAGCTTTGCTGTAAGCGTAGTACGTGCGAGTACATATATATATATATACCCTCACTCGCTATCTGAAAACGGAGATAACGTTTCGCTACAAAAAACAAAATCGTACATTTCCTGACTCAACTGATTCGAAGCGCAAAAGACAAAGTGCGTCACGTTATCTTTAGAGGCGAAGAGTTCCGTCGTTATCACCAAGATAGCGTATATAGATTCGTTGTTCTGCAATATCACTCGAAGGACAGCTCGACTGGCGTTTCTTATTCCAGTCAGACACAAACTCTTGAGTCGACGCAAAGGAGCCAGATGAATCCATCCCTCGTTCCTGATACGGCCACCGTTGTTGCTGATTTGAAGATGTTCGAGAGATTGAGCGTAGGTCGCCAAGTATTGTAGAGCAGAGTTTGACAATAGGGGGGCGTTCCTCAGGAGTATGGTCTTGAGGTGCGTATACGTACAAACAATGTACAACAATTGTGCGTCCTCCAAGGTCGGATAGTCGACAAGGTCCAAAACGGTCAGAGCGTTCGCGGACACATGAGAAAGTTTACAAATTTCGGAGAACAGGACGACCCTCTCTCGTTCAAACTCTTCCTCATTTGAGTCTTCCGAATAAACGTTGGCCACTACTCTGCTCCAGTCGAAGGTTCGCGATTGATCAAACTTGGTGGCCTCGCGAAACACTTTGGACACGCTGGATGCTACTCCGGTCATGTTCTACGTTTGTCGACGCGCTTCGGCAGGCGCGCGTATATATACGTACGTTTTGTGTATGTAGAAAAATAAAGCCTCTCGAATGATTGTTTGTTTATTTCAAAAAAGACACGTACTAGACGTTGCGCAAAGCTCGCATAATGTGATCGCTTTCGGTGTAGTATCTCTTGTACTTGTAGCGCCTGATCTCGTCACTGACGTCGTCGTCACCGTCGTCACCGTCTTCAGCGTCGTCGTCGCTATCCACGTTGCGCTCAGCGTAGTCGTCGTCCGAATTTCCGTGAAACTTGGGCTCATTATTATTATTATTATTTGTCTCGTACACCGTCCGTCTGGTACGCAGAGTCGATTTGTAGCGGCCTCCGCCGGTCGAATGGAAGAAGCTATCCGTGGACGGACCCAGCGGTCTCTTTTCCCAGTCGTCCACGATCCTGTAGTTGGGGCGATTGGAAACGCGATACTTGAATTCCTTTCGCACGTTGTCGCGCGCGTTTGGACGAAACTTTGCACCAGACTCTCGGTGCACGTTGTTGTCGGAATAATACGTGTCGTGCTTGGGCAAGTTTGTAAAGTCGCCGTTTATTGTCCTATACAACTCGCCTAGCTCGACCATCTCGTAGGCCACGACTATGGTTTCCAGAAAGGACGGCGGTGGGTCGCGAATCACGTCGATCCACTGCCCCACCTTGATCGAGCGGCTGGTGACCACGTCGTGAAACTTGCTAGATATCTTGTCAATGTTTACGTTCACCAAGACTCCCGAAACGTAGGGCGAATGATTATCTCCGGTGGTCCTACCGACTTTGGTTTCCAACAGGGCTGCGCCGTCGCTTCTCGCTTTAAACACGGGATAGAACGAGTTAGATCGAATAGCCTTGGCCGTTTCGGCGTACTCCCTTCCGCACATGACGTCGCCCTTCTTGTTACGCACGGGCACTATCGAGTGCATGTCATTCAACACGTGAACTGGAAATTGATTGACGAAAATTGGGGCGCTGCGCTTGTGCATCTTAAAGACCTGAAAGTCTCTGATCACGTCGTTGGCACGCTTTATGAGACGGTTCTTGTCCGACCGCAACCCCTCGTGAGCGCTCGTGAGAAACCTGAGCAGGCTCGGCGGGAGTTGGTCGAAAGAATAATCCACGCGCACTTGATACATTTTTTTATTACACGGGATACATGTACTTGGAGTCGCTGCTGGCGTTTCTGGACATTGTTCGCCTACCGACACTGACGCTGCGACCGAGTCGGCCTCGGTTGATGGAAATGCTACGGCTCCTCCTGTTGCCGACGCTGCGACTCCTCTTCCTTCCTCTTCTTCGACCCGAGGAGAGAACGCTCCTACTCCCACTCCTCCGCCGCGCGACGCTTCCGCTCCTGCTCCTAGTCCTCCGCCGCGCGACGCTCTTGCTACGACTCCTCCTCGTTCTTTGACTCGATGGTCGAATCTTGTCGAGGATCGCGTGAGTTATCAGCGCGTGCCTGGCTCGATTGATCGGACATGACGCCGGCAGTCGGTGTTTGCGAGCAAAGGCCTGAATTAGTTTCCCCAATAAAAGTTTCAGGTAGGTTGGACTCTGTCCTCGTTTAACCCGCATGGAGCCGAGAATGCGCCTTTGATCTTCCTTGGTGAAATGTTCGAGGCGATACGGCTTTCTCGTATCGAGTCTACGACCGTTCCTGTTGCATCTCGAACACTTTGTTCTGGCGGTTCGTTTCGAGAAACCGCACTTGGAACATTTGACCATTTTTATTTACTCGTTAAAAGCCATGCCTCTCAACAGAGCCTCGACATTTTCTGGAACGCGCGTCGGAAGACGCTCTTTGTTCTTGAGTTTGTTCACGTAAGAAGAGACCTTGACGGCGATGGCGTTTTCGCGAAACGTTGTCGAAAGCGGGTGCTTGGTGACAGAGTTGTGGGTGGCGACTCCCTTTTCAAAGTGTTCGCGGACGTCGCGGGGTACCTCTCTAAACTTGTAGCGTTTGGCCAGAACGTTTGTCGGGTACTGCGATATGTCGTACTGACGCTGCTTACAGTATTGTACGATCGCCTTTCTCAGAAGAAGGTTATTTAGCTGAGTCTTCAATTTCGGATTAGGAGTAAAGGACTTTTCAATTTCCAATCGCACGTCTGTCGGTAGACTACTAATGTCCGGGACTTTTGTCAGGGAATAAAATCCCTCACCCGTCCTCTTTGTCCGGCGGGCGCCGGTCCGTCGACGCTTATTCTCATTCTCTCGAAACGAACGAACGTGGATATGTTTTCAAACAGAGCGTCTCATAGGGCTCTCGTAGGTTTTTTTTGCTCGTCGTCCATGATCATTCGGATGGCCGTTTGAATCCGCAAGTATCGCAACACGTCGCCCGTGTACAGGTGTTGATATGGTTTATAAACGACGGCAGTGCGTTCCCAAATGTCTTCACCAATCACAAAGTCCTCGATGAATTTCCTCAATATTTTTTTCTGCGAGTCCGATTCCATCATTTTTATAATTGTAGTATCGAGGGCCCTCCCTCGTAATCCATCACCGCATCACACAACGCTCGAGCGTTCAAGTCGCGATTTCTGGACAGTTCCTCGGCCAGGCTCGGTTCTCGTCCATACTTTTCTTTAAATTCGACTCGCCACTGCCGCTTGCAGATTTGCTTCTCCACGATGTCGACCCGTTCGTAGCACTCGACGTCGATTTTGTTGTTTTTCAACACGACGTTCATGACCCTGTAGTCGTCTCGGCGCAGCACAAAATTTATAAACTCGATCACGTTGCGAAAGGCCACGTCCACCCTGGTCATGCGCTTAACTGCCACGAGCGCCTTGTAGAGGAATTCGCATTGGCGCACCGCGCCGAGTTCCTCAAAGGCGCGTTCGAGTTTGTAGGCAAAACCCTGATCTACCGTGTAATGGTTTAAGGTCTCGATCGTCATAGGGCCCAAGATTTCTCTAAACTGTCGCCTGATGGCTTCCACCTTGTCCGCGTTACTTTCGGCCAGTTCAAAATTGTATTGCGGAACGTGAAACGGCGTCACGCCGGAATACCTGGGGGTTTCTATAGCGCTCGATGCCGGTGACTCCATCATTCCGTATTCTTCGTTTGTAAACAACATTGCGCGGTCAGAGGCGTCGTCCAATACCGAGTCCCTTTTCTTTCTAGCTGCGGGATGGGTAGGCGACGAAACGGGTGGTGGAGACGCAGACGACGACGAGGCGCTATAACTATCGAGTACCAGATACTCCGCGTCTTCGTCATCAGAGGATATGGGTGGTGGTGGTGGTGTTTGAGCTGCCCTCGCGGGTGGCGCTTGGGGTGGTGGTGGTGGTTTTTGAGCTGCCCTCGCGGGTGGCGCTTTTGCCGGTGGTGGCGGTGGCGGTGGCGGTGGTGGTGGTGTTTGAGCTGCCCTCACGGGTGGTGCTCGGTGGGGTGGCGGTGGTGTTTAAAAATAATTTGACATAAATAAGTGCTTTTTAGAGGCCTAGAGCTCTCTAAGAAGCCTCTATGAGGCCTAAAGGCCTTCTCTGCAAACCACTTCTCAAATCGCCCTAATGACACACCAAAGATGACAATGTCGCACTTAAAGTGTACCTTGTAAACGGAACCTTTTCGCCCAACTGGGAGTCCATGGCATTCATTTCGTCCTTCTATGGCATTGAACATGTGACATGACACCTGCGATTCTCAGTATTCTGATAGGAAGTGTATAGCGCAAAATTAGCAGATATGTATTTGATTGTGCATACTTGTTTGCAGGTGGTGGGAGCGATCAACATGTTCAGCTGCCTCAACTGCAGGATCTTCAGGATTACCATCTACAGGTGGAACCAGCCCAGTGTTTTCTAAGCATGATTCAGATTGCAGTGCAAGCCCACAACGGGAATTGGAGCTGCTGCGTAAAGCTGTAGAACTTCAGAAGAAGTGTTCAGTGGTGAGTTGGTTGTTATTTTGACTTGTTCCCAGCCATCTTTTGATTGCAGCAAAATGCAACAGAAGCTGAAAAGTAGGAACTCAAACCGAAAAACTGGCAGCTTTGTTACGGTTACAGCCGTACTATGAAATCGATTTTGTTTCGGTACGCTATTTACTTGAGTCTGAGCCGGCATTGATTTTTTGCAGACCCCGAAAGGTAGAAAAATAATAAAAAATATACTCGATTATGAGCCAATCGGAAGGTAAAGAACACCGTGCATTTAAAAAAAAAAACCTGGCTCGTGCTTTTGACACTTCTTTCGCTTTTGCTTTAATGATTTTTATGATCA